GGGAGCAGGGTGGTCCTGCACAAAGTGGGCTCCCAAGGAGCTGGCTCCAAGCTGTGCTCCCGTGGCAAGGCATCCCCCGTGCAAGGTCACGATGTCAGCTTAAAAAGTAACTCAACTTTCATGTGCCACTTTCTCTTATTTACTGTTTTCATGCTTTCAGCCTTCAGATAACACTCAGACACTGCCCAGCCTGCCTCCAGAAAAAAATAGTACACGTCCAGCTGGTTGCAGACTGCAGAGCTGGATCCTCAGCCCTGCTCCCTGGTGGCCTCATGAGCCACATCCAGAGTGGCCAGTCCTGCCCCGCTCTGAGGCCGCCTCAGCCCCGGGGCTTTATTTACAGGCTGGTTCCCAGCAGATCAGAGCAGATGTGGAGGGCTCTGCCAGCAGCTCCCGCTTCACGCGAGCGCTTCCCTCCGTCCAGCTCGGCACGTGCCAGGGAAGGATCCAGCGCTACCCACCACCCCACTGAGCTTTACAACAGCTCATGGCACAGCTGGGGCTTTGCCTCCTCCAGTTTTATAAGGGCTAAAAAGTGTGGATTTCACCCAAAGCTGGGGGCTCAGTGCTGGAGGGTGGTTGAAAACCAGGCCCTCTTGCCTCAGAGGTTACGGTGGGACAGCGGCTGCTCTGGCTGGGAGTTGGAGCAAGCTGCCCTTGCTCCCTTCCCCTCTTAACCCTCCCAGTCCTGGGAAGGAAAACCCAGAACTGCACTGGCCACGCTCCAAATGCTGTCCCTGCCTTGCAAGAGGAGACACGTTGCCAGGGCAGGCTGATTTCACCGGGTCAGAGGCTTCTCACACACCCAGGGTCACCCAGGCTTATCAAGGGGATCCAGAGCTCAGACACTTAACACCATCTTCCCACAGCCTGCCCCATCCCAGGGTCAGGGCTGGCTCCAAGGGCTTTCCAGTGCCGCTGTCTGCAGTTCTACCCACACCACCAGACACCTGCACGGCCCTGGAGGGGCTGGACCTGCAATCCTGACCCCCCCAGCCCACAGCTGCCTCCAGACCCGAGAGTTTTGGAACTCTGCCCAGTGACAGACTCGTTTGAAGAGCAGGAGATGGAGCTCTGCCCCAACACAGACACTCACAGTGGCCACGATCCTTTTGACAGCAGCTGCAGAGAGCTCCTCTCCCTTGGGCTGCTCCACCAGTGTCATCCCCATGTACTTGAGGCTGAAGAGCATCCCCTCCAGCAGCGTCTCGCGAGTGTCAGTCCAGTTCTCTGGGAGCTCTGGGGAGACAACAAAGAGGCTCTTGGATTCCCAAACACACAAGGATGTCCCTGAGGGTTTAGGTACAGGCAGGGTGTTGGTTTAGTTGCTGCCTGGACTTCCAAGCCTGAGCATCTTGGAGCTCAGGGAAGGAGATGGGGCAGCTGTTGGAGAAGAGAACACTTCAACCACGCAGCACCCACGAGGGGCTCACATGGGGAACCTCATCATCAGCCCCTGCAGCTCTCCAGCACAGCAAAAACAAATCCCAGAATGCTTTCCACAAGCCACAACAAACAGAAGCAACCTTTTAGTTGAGCACCCAGGCTCACACCATAACCAAGGGGACCCCGAGCCCCAGCCCAGTGCAGGGCTCGGATCCACCCCACGCACAGCAATGGCCTTACCCTGTGCAAACCATCACCTACACACACACTCAGGCTAAGACAGGATTTACTGCTAAGCCCAGGCAGCTGCCAGGATCCAGGTGAGGTGCTGTGACCTGCTAAATCGGTCACCTACAGCCCTAAGGAGCCATCACACAGGTGAAGGCTCGGCAAGGAGAGGTCTCTGCTCTCCCCTGGAAACCACCAAGGGGACTACTGGCCTCTTCCCTTAAGTGCAGGGAGGGTGGGAAGGAGTGTTCTAAATACAGAGCTAAGTTTGGGACCAAAGGGAAAGTCAGGTGGGTGTTTCTAAGCCTGAAATTACACCGCAGGAGCCAACTTTCAGCCTCCTCCAACCAGTGAGGCCAAACTCCACAGCTCCCTGCACACCTGCAGGTCAGGAGGGCCGGGCTGCAGGGATGTGGGGGACCTGGATACACCCCTGGGAGAACCCCCAGTGACTCAGCCTCCCTGCAGAGGCAGGGCTGCAGATAAGCCATAAAGCCCAGCACCACTCCCAGCGCCGGGTGGTGAGACACCAGCACCGGCTGGAGCGGGAGTGCCAGAATCCAGGTGGGAGTGGTCCCATGGGGGGTGCAGGGGAAAAGGAAAAAAAAGGGGAAAAAACAAGGACAGGTGGGATGCTGTGTTAACCTGGTATCCCAGAGGGTGCCAGCACAAAGCTTGGACTTCTCAAAAGCCAAAGGGTGCTGCCACTGCCCTCCCGTGAGCGCTCTAGGATGGTTTGTGTGCCAGCTCCCTGCCCCACGCTCCCTGCCCTGCCAGCCAGGCACTGGTCCCGTTATCACTGAGCCCAGGGACGCTCCAAACACCCCACAGTGCCTGGGGTGATGCCACCTGCAGCCAGGCCCTGGGCACCCACAGCTCCCGTGGGCCCGGGACGGAAACAGAGGTGGTTTAAGCAAAACCACTAAAGTGCTTTCAGAGAGGAAGGAGCAACCCGGCAGGACAGAGACACTTCTCCACACATCCTGTTCTGCACCCTCTGCCCTCACCCATCATCCTCCCATTAGCACACAACCATCACCCACCGAAGGGCACGGGAGGGGGACAGTTTTCAAGGTCACGGCATCTCGAGGGGCACATCCCCCCAGGGGCAGGTTGGGCAGCACTCCATCTCACCCCATCCCACCCCTCAAAGCCCCGCGGCTGCCCCCCAGCCCTCCGCGTCCCTTGGCTCATCCTTAATCCCAGGTGTAACGACGCCGGGTCAATGCCATCAGATTACCAACAGCAAGAAGTTTGATCTCGCCGCGGGTGCTGAGGGGTGAACGGGGGGGGGCAAAGCTCTCCCCTCGTCCTGGCGCTGCCCCGCTCGGGGGGCAGCCGGGCCGGTCCCCCCTTCGCCGGGAGGGCTCCTGGCACGGGCCGAGTGGCCGCTCGCCACGGGGCCATCGATCGCGTGGGGAAGCCAATCGCGGGACGAGGTCAGAAACTGCCCGCCGGGCTCCAGCCCTTGTACCAGGCTGGGGGACGGGGA